ATTAAAATACTTTGGGGAAAAAAAGCTTATACAGTGCATTTGAACTGTATTGGGTATGAAGAGCAGTTTCACACTTCTGTGGAAGATGGTTACCTGGAATTTAAAGCATGTGCACCTGAACGCATGGCTCTGAAGTGTTTTCTGTAGCAACTTCTGAAGTAAATTGTCATGTAGCCTGGGGTGAATTGTTTTGCTACTCAGTTTTGTATCCAAACAGCAGTAATAAGAGGTTATCCACTGAAGCATAAAAATATCTATGTTCCAATACTCTAGCTCTCTCAGTTGCTAGAAATACTGGCAAAAATACATGAAATAGAAGAACAGTTCTCCATGTGTGGACCCCCCTGTGAGCTAAGGGTCTGGTCCCAGGGTTATATGTTTGAGAGCTGTGATATATTTGTTTTAAGCAGGTGTCTAATCTGGAAATCCCTGTTTGTATTTGGGTTTCATGTCATTTTATGAGCAGCAGGTTCCTCAGGCCCCATTTTGTTTATTATCCTGGTTGCTTCTCTATTACTTTAAAACTTGGTGGAAGGGGAAGAAAAACTGTTGGCATCCTCCAAGTTTTGCATGGGCCCTGAGCCCTGCCTCTGTAGATGAATTTGTAAGGGCGAGGCCTGTATTGTGACAATGAGATAATATTATCAGAAGCCCTTTTTTGTGACTTAACTGAGACTGTGTGTTCTGCTGTCTAGGGAGCAGATAAATTCCCAGATAGCTGTCTTGTTTTCTTCATTTCATGGTGTGAAAGTACTGTTTTCATGGGTTAATTATCTGCATGTAGCAAGGGACAAAGGTCAGGGATTTGTGTTGATATTCTGAATAAAAGTGAATTTGCTAAGTAATTGCTGAGAAAAGTCAGGTGTTAAGAAAACAAACTGGTCTTTGGGCTCATGCAGACCATAATCGCTCCTCTCCTGCTTCTGAGATTCTGCTTGTGTAAAGGTTATTAGAAGAAAAGTAAGCCAGCATTAGTAAGCAAAGTCTCCTTGATATCAGGAGACATGGAAAGATCATAAGATATAAAGAACATCATCTTCCCCTTCTGACTGTTAGAGCTGCAGCCATTTGTCGTGACTATGAGTGCACAGATCTCTCAGCAAATGAATGAGCTACTGGTTTGTTAAGCATGGTAGACTATAGTAGAGTTGTGTCTTAATTTCTGGGACTCCATTTTTTATTTCTTCTCCAATACTTGCTAATTAATTGTTTGTTAACTTGCTAGTTGTGCAGAGGTGCATCACAGAAGAGGGAGTGAGATGTCCTAAAGGACACAGATCTGACATCTCCATATATATAATGGGGATCTTTTTCCATGCTAATATTTCCATGCTAATAATTTCCATGCTAAATACCCTGTTCCACCATATTTGCTACTTAGAAGCAAGTACACAACATGTTTCTTTGGTTTGCTACTGTGGTGGTTTAGGCCCAGCCGTAAATCAGAACCACGCAGTCCCCTCACTCATTCATCAGAACGCCTCTCCCTCCCCTTCTCTCCCTCCCCCCCCCCACCCCCTTCCGGAGGGATGGGGAGGAGAACCGAAGGAATGTACCTCCCATGGGCTGAGATAAGAACAGTCCAGGAACTAAGGTATAACACAAATCACTGCTGCTACCACCAATAACAATAATGATAAGGGAAATAACAAGGGAAGAGAATACAACTGTTCACCACCCACTGACCGATACCCAGCCTGACTGAGGAGTGATCTAATCCTTCCAAGTAACTGCCCACAGTTCCACATCCTGGGCATGACGTGCTGTGGTATGGAATACCTCTTTGGTTAGTTTGGGTCAGGTGTCTTGCTTGTGCTTCCTCCTGGCTTCCACTCCTCCGTGGCAGAGCATGAGACTCAGAAAGTCCTTGGTCAGAGTAAATATGACTTGGCAACAACTGAAAACACTGGTGTTATCAGCGTTGTTCCCAGGCTGAAAGTCAAAACCACAGCACTGCACCAGCTACTAAGAAGGAGAAAGACGACTGCTACTGCTGAACCCAGGACAGGTACTTACATTGTTGTGCACAACTCTGTATGTCAGAGCATGTGGATCAGAGTCCTCACAGAATTAGCTTGCTCATTACCAATTGAAACCAGAAATGATAGCACTTTTGCTTGGTTTTAAGGTGGCATCTCTGAGAAGCAAATTTCCAAAGGCTGTCTTAACCAGCTCAATCTTTTGATGAAAGCTGGAAGGCTGAAAGCAGTATGTTAGTTAGTAGGGCAGCAAATCAATAAACGTATCACTGTTGACTCATCTCCTGTCCAAATAAATGAGTTCAGTGTTTTACATCTGCATTTCCCTTCTTTACCCCTTCCTCTTCCCAAGATAAAGAATTTAAGGTCTTTTTTTCACTTCCAGCTGTATGAAGGACAAATTAGAAACTGCTGCTTTCTGTGAATACAACAGGCTGATGTATTATTTTTTTTTTTCTGAAAATGGCTTTCATTGGTACAGCCAGATAAAGTAATTTATTTTAGATCCATCTTTGCAAATAGGTCCTGTTGAAAAGGCTGACTTCTAAGACTGGCTCTCAGAATGAATCTGCCTTTTGAAAAGTGTTTAAGCTTAGCCCTAGACATCAATTTCCAAAAGCTTTTGGACTTCAAACAGTGAGCTTGACTAGCTTCTAGAATAACATGAAAGGTAGTACAATGTCTAGTACATGTATTGAAAAAGCCTCTAATATCTCTAAGTGCCCAATTTATCTCTGGATTTAACTGTAAAACTGATGGAATTTTTAAATGAGGAAAAGTTCTTCTAAAATATAATCATAAGCTGCTCTAAAACACTGTTCTGAACAGACTGGGACAGATTTAGTTTCTTACATACCTATTTGCAGTAAGATATGCTGCTTGAGGGGATGATTTACAGTTTCTGTCAAACGGAGCTGCAGTTCCTATTGGAAAATTGTTAGAGGCTGAGTCTAAAGGGATTAGCAGATTTTAAGTTTAAGCTTTTTAGTGTGTCATTTGGTTAATTTATGGTACCTCTTTTAGTAGCTGTGGAAACGGTCTGCTTTCTAATACGGTACCACTTACAGTTTTATAGAGAACCTTAAATGCTTTACAGCATTTTTTAACTCTTCTAACCCCCTTCTTCATTATTTTTTACAGCTGTTTGGTATATCCACTTTGTCCTTGATTGTGTTCCTTGTAACACACATGCAATTTCAATGTGGATGGCAACGAGCAGGTCTGTCAGTAATGGCAGATGTCTTCCTTCCTCAAATGTCTCCAGTACTATGTTGATAATGAGTCCATAGAGAACTTGCCAAAATGTGGCTGTGTCCACACAGACTGCCATGTCCGGCAGTTGTCAGGTTTTAATACCATGTTAATTTGCATTAAGAGAAAAAGGAAAGAAACAAGCTTTTCTTCATTTGTCACAAGTTCTTTAGGTTGTCTCTTCTGTGATGTTTAATCTCAGATATTGTTTAAATGGCTTTCAGTTTCTGGGTATGTCTTTTGGATTACAGTTATTTCATGAAGGTCATATAACCTGGCACAAGACACTTGAAGATATCAAAATCCTAAACTGTCTTCCCTTCCTCTATAGTTTCTCAAAATAGCTTTCTTGGGTGCCTGGTTCTTTCTATAGGGAGTTTATCACAGGGGTGTGTGCAAAGGTCCTCACAGGGAGCACAATGCCTAGAATGTCATGTTTGTTGATGAACCTGAGCTTAATAGACTGAAACTTGTAGTTCAACAGACCTGTGATGGTCACTACTAAAACAAACATCCATATCTAGAGCCTTCCTTCATCACCCAGCAGAGTTAGGCTAGGTTTGTGTAGCTTACTGAAAATGACCCAAACTACTTGCTTCTAGAACTGCTGCTTTCGTGGTTGGTTGGGGTTTTTTTGGTCATGTTTTTTACTTCTGTGGTTGATACATCTGACACTGTGTCTGACCTTATTGTCTCACTTCTGGGTAAGCCTTCTTGGTAGGTAGCTTTGAAGTAGGTAAACCTTCTTCAAAGGTAGCTACAGTGGCCTGGTTGTTTCTTGTGGGTTTGGGGGCAGGGGGTTTCCCCTAGAATTTGACCTGTCTGCCTTCTGTTTCTTAGTGTAAAATGACAATCTTCTAGCACTGGTTTGTTTTAACTATTCTCTGTTTTGACTTTCAAAGATGAGGGAGTGATGTATTTAGCTTTTCACTGGCTTTCAGCTCTTGGTTTAGGTGTACTTTCTAGTTTGTTTTTAAATCCCACTAAGGTATGAATTTTTCACCCACATACAGTCACTGAAAGAAAAGAAAAATCTTTGGGAAATGAACAGATCTTTTTCAAATCAGAAGCTTAAAGTAGATTTTTTTTTTCTACTTTCCTCTTTCATGATCTACTTTGGTAGACAAAATCTGGATTTGCCACATTTCCCTCTCAGGCATCCACATAAAAAATGTATCTACCCATGATGTCTCTGAATGGAATTTTCCCAGTAATTATTTGACTGTGTCCATCAGATTCTGTTGTCAGTCACTGAGCAGAAAATGGAGCACTTCCTGCTGGGAACCAACGGGCTAGGTAGCCCCATTCTGGTATTACAAAGATGATGTTTTGAATATAAATTTTCTTTGGGAAATGTTAGAGTTGCTTACAAGACCAAGCTGGTATCAAATCCCTATCTCTCCTTACCACAGAAGGTTGTTGGTGAAATTAATTTCCTTCTCATAGTCTCTAATTAAAATATGGTTTATTATGATTTACTATATTGTGACTCGCATAAGAAGAGTTTAATGTATTATTTTTCAGCAGTGAAAATGCTGCTTGTAAGGCTTTGGGTGATTTCACATGACACTGCATATACATGTGGGAGAAGAAACAAAATTCTTGGATCAGTTGATGGATTATCTCTAAATTGTCTTTGTCCTTAATGTTACAGATGCTAATAATGATTTACAAGGATTGACCATATTCTGCTCCTTTAGGAACAGATTTTTGAAATTGCTGTATTTGAATGTTCTTTCCCCAAACCTGTTTGGTTTGGTTTCTTTTTTTAGTATTTTTATTGTCTTGTTCTACAGATAGACACAATGTCATGATATGAAGAATAACCTTGATTACTCCAATGTTACTAGTGACCATGTATAACCAGGTCTGTATAATCTCAGGAAACCACAGTATAATTATTAGCTATCAGGAAATATTACTCTGATGCTCATAACAATTCATAAATTGTAAAGTTGCAAAGGATAATAGGGTCTGTTTTCTATTGATTTTTTTAATCTGCTGAAACACCAAACAAGTGTGACCTTCATAAGCACTTAAATGCATGATTGAATCCATTATTTTAAGAAAAATAGCCACATAATACCCTGGTTTTAAGGACAGTTGTAGATGTCAAATATCTAAGTTTCAATATGAGGAGAATTACTGAGATTTTGAAGAATTTTGATGCTAGTTCAACAGATGCATTTGATAATCCTAAATCAATTCCTGTCAGATTAAAATAATTTGACAGGTTTAGATGTTGATGGGGAAGGTGGGACCATTTTGCTTCCGTTATTCTGCCCATCTATTCTAATTAATCTCCACTTAATTTAAAAAAATTACTTACTGTATCTGATAATGAGATAATTTGTAATTCAATTAACAGCACCATTTACAAGCCTTTAATGTGAACAAAACCACCTGCTGAACTGCTCAGCCTGCCTTATACCTGAGAGATGGCAAGATGAATCTTCTTCCCCTGGCATGCCAGGATAGGCAAAGTCAGTTCACACCATTGCCCACAAAGATGTACCAGTTCCACCTGTCTCAAATACCAGTAAAATTATAATTATATGCTCTTTACAAGGAGCTGTCAAACAGTGTCTTTATTCAGGTCATGATATAAATATTGAGCTTTCAGTTGTTGTATAAGAGAGAAGTTCACAGTATAGGACAACTCGATCAGACTCTTGCAGTCAAGCAGTGTTCTTGTGGATGGGTTGTTTTGACCCAGCTGTTAGTAAGGTGTGCTCCCTCTCCCATGTTTGATTTTGTTGTCTATAGTGCCTCTGAAAAAGGACAGATGGATTGGAGAGTTTTGAGTGGTTTTAATGCCCTGAATGTTCCTTTTTGTTTGTTTTTTTTTTTTTCCCTTTGGAAAATTTGAAGTAAGGTGAATTTACTGGACAAACAAATATTTTCAACAATAACCTTTTTAAACTGGAATAGAAACTGTGGTGTTATAATTGCACTCACTGATATCTAACTTATTACTAATATTTTTGTTTCTTTAAACAGAAAAGAAAGGTTTTGTTTTGAAAAGTTTATAATGAGAATACTGACCAAGAACAGCCCCATCTTAAAGCAACAAAAACCCTCAAACAAACAAAAAACACCAAGTTGCTTCTGTCGTGGAAAAAATAGTCTTCACATCAGTTACTTTCTAAAACTCTTTTACACCTGGTTGCTGTAATTAATTGAAAAATGGACTCATGTTCCTTAGCTATGTTAAGTTATAGTGGAGCAAATAAGGTAGACATAAACTCATCTACTTAAAACTCTTACACAAAGTATAAGTACCTTGGTAAATAGTATTTTTTTGATAGGTATGATAGTATGATCTAAAATGAAGATAATGACATAACCAGAGTACAAAAAGCAGGTGGCACAACAGGAGGGGTCACATAGGGTACTGTAACAGTTCACCGGGAAAGGAAAGGACAGAAGAGGGAGAAGAGATCAAGTGTCTGTATTTCCTCCAGGACTGTGACTCAGGATGGAATTTAAGCCAAATGACCAGATTTAATGCTTCTAATCACTTTTTTTCTTCTAAGGTTCTTTTTTTTCCCTTCATGACTAGCACCATTTAAAAAAAGACCTTAACAGGCCAACGTTCATCCTAATTATTCTTTCGGGTTTGTGCGCACTCACAATGCCAAGTATTCAAGGCGATCCAAATTTTTCTGCCTTTGGCAAAAGGAATTAAATGCTCGCCCTTAACATTTGTACCCTATGTGCTATATGTCCACAGGCCCTTTGAAGTAGAAGTGACAATGTTAAAAAGAGGTTATAGCTTCTGAATTTTTTTAGATCTTTAGAATCACGAATAGATCACAGTAAACACTGACAGGAGGATGGTAGAGCTTGGCAACAAGTTAAGACTAGTAATATCTGTATCACTTCAAATATAAGAGTTGCTGGTTATTGCAGTATTGGAGGCATCAGTGTAGTAAGTTCCAAACATGTATACCTTTGGTATCTGCATTCAGAATTGCACCATTTGCTTCTTAAAAAAATTACTTTTGAATGGACATCAATATAAAACTATAGCCAGCAGGCTGTTATGGCAGGTTTTTTTGTTGTTTGGTTTTAGAGTGTTCTGGGCACTTGGAGCTTTTTACTGTAATGTGGTTCCCGGGAATTGGCTGCTGTTTAGCCCGTTGCTGGCTCCTGTTATTTCTTTGTGTACATGACTGGAAGGCTTTTACTCTGTGCTTTGAGAGCTCTTTATTTGTGGCTTTTGGGAACAGCAAACATAAACCCCCTAAGATTTTATTTCTAAAATTTACTTTGGATTAATTGAATGGGTTGGCCAATGTAGTTAAAATATCAGTCATATCTTTTGGTTTTTTTTCTTTTTGTCACTGACTTTTATGACTTACTGTCATTTCCATATTCCTAAAACATGGATTCATGAATGTAACATTTAGACTATTTAGAAATATATTTTCCTTGGGATGCAACTCAGGATGACAACTTAAGTTAGCTAAGAGTTCCTTTTGAGCAACTTAACTCCAATCCTTAAAGCCTAACTCATTTTCTAATTACAGCCGGTGTTGGGTTTTTTTTTCCCTAATGGCTGTATTAAACACACAGTCTTGGATTGCTTTCAGTTTGACAGGTTGCTGAATTGTCACCAGTTTGCCTACTCACTTTTTTGTCTTACTACCAGAATAATCTTTGTGCCTTCTGAATTTTCACAAGTTTTTCTACCTATATGTGCTTTGTTATTGAATTGCATCGAACCTGATCCCTTCAGGGCTCAAGTAACTCATATCTGGTTTGCTGCCGTTGGCTATGTCTAGTAGTAGCTGCACAACTGTAAGTCTTGAAATTTAGAAAGGAACTATTTAGGTTATTATGTAGTTTGTTAATATGTGCATTATTGTGATCTTTATGTTGTGAGCATCTATGTCACAGTAATACCATGGTAAAATACTAGTTTGCATCTTCATTCTTGCCCTTATAGGTCAGTATTTGGCCTCTGTGCTTGAAAAGCAGAGAGAAATTTTCTTACAACTCAAATGTATTTGTTATCAAATCCTAACTTAGAAGTTATTTTCTCTTGTGTTTGTTAGAGAATTACTTTCACAGGATCGTGGGATAATTCAGGTTCAAAGAGACCTCTACTCTAACCTCATCCAAGAAGTGTCAGTTGTGAGGCAAGGCTATTCAGGGCATTAACCAGTCAGACCTTGAAGACTTTCAAGTGTGGAGACTGCACAGCCTGTCTGGGACCCCATTCTTCTGCTTAACTGTCATTATGGTGAATAGATTTCTCCTATACCTTTCACCTTCACACAGTTTTTATGATTATCTGTGATGTTTGAAGAGAGCTTTTTTCATAGTCCTTATTAAGCTGGCCTAGCTTATTACTTTATAAATGTTAGAAAATGATGGGACAACATATAGTCATAAAAGCAATGCAGGGTACTGTTGCAAACCTGAACTGGAAGGGTTTCACAATAGGCTTTCTGCTTTGACACAGAAAGGAGGTTTTGTTATGAAAACAATTTCCATTCAAAACTGAAGAACTGTGATATTTTTCAGACAAATGAAATGCTACAGTATATTGTTCTGTATCAATATAATGCTCTGTATCTTCAGAACAGATATCTGAATGGCTGAAGGTTCTACTGCTGAATGTAGTTGTCACCGTGCAACAAGTATATGCTCCAAGTCTAGTTACTGCAAAAAGCACGCTGGGTTAGACAGCATCGGTTTGTGCTTCAGTTGGCAGAAAAGCTATGCTGTCCCTGGGGAGCCTCAACCAAGGCAGAAAAAAAGCTTTTCCAGAGATGAGCTCTTTCCAGTAGAGGAAATGACATCTGTTTCTATTGTTTTGTACCTATTCTGAGAGTCTCCACTGAATAGTCTCCTGCTTCGGTGTCCGAGGCTGCCAACTTAACATACCTCACGAGTGCTACAATGTTGCTGTAATCCCTCCCATGTGGATTGAGGCACATTCTCTGTGTGAATTACTGGGAAGAAAGATAGGAATTGCGTTGTTACAGTAGAAACACTTTAGGAGCAGATACTGAGTGTGGGGGTCAATACCTGCAGTGATCGCAACACCCACTATGTTCTAAAGTGCTGTTCCTTTGTCTCCCATAGCAGACTTAAGTGAGTGCTTTGTTTGGTTTATTAAACTTCATTTATCCCCCAGCTCTTTCTTTAGCTCAATCTCCTCTTCCTTCTAATGCTGAGGAAAACAGAACCTCACACAGGAAAATACTTGGTAGGTCATTTACTCGGTAGAAGTCCTACAATATTGCTGAGACAAGGGTAGCCAAATTCCAAACAACACATAAGTGTTCATAGTGATGGACTTCAAGCTGTTTTGATGAAGAAATTACAGTTGCTTTTTATTGCAACTTTAAAATACTGGTGTCCACATATAAAATATCAGCCCTGCTCTAGAGCAGAAATTAGGTAGTTAGTCCTTCAGTGTAGGCCTTTGTTAGGATGTATGAAGTCAAAGAAGATAGCTGAAATCAGTCTGTAGATTTGCTAGCTTGAGCATTTTGAAAGTCTTGGTATAAAGCCCAAAGCCTATGTTCTGTAGTGTCATTAAAAGCATTGCTATTACACTAGGTTGGGTGAAATATCCAGCCTACGTGTCTTATTTCTGACAGTAACTACTTGAGGATACTTCAGAAAAGAGCATTAAAAAAGGTGTGAAGGAGAGGATGATCCTTTCTCTGGTACATCTCCAATTTAAGGATTTCCAAGGGGCAGTATGTATGTTTCCAGTACTCTGGAAAGGGTCAAGATGGTATACTGACGTGTATAGGCTTGTTTGGATCACTAGTTAAATAAATGTGGTCTTAAAATAGAACTAGTTTGTCATCTCTTCAACCCTCATAATTTCTTTCAGTTTCAGATAAACTACATTCAATCTGGGAAATTCAGACTGACAAATTGTAAAAACCTCAAAATGAGAATGTTCAGCTAAGACATGCACATAACTTAAACCCAGTCCTTTGCCAGAAGTACACATTAATTATGATTTAAGTTTTTTAATACAGTCTTAGTTTGGATTAGCTGAAAAAAAAAGCAGCTTGTTTTTCAAAGACTCATCCAATTGTTCTTTTTTATTGTTTCCATCACCATAGGGCAGAGTTAAGGCTGTTTGGATGCCCTCAACTGTAATTATACTATTGCAAGCAATTTACCCAATGTTTACATGCATATAATACATTGTGTATTAACTTCATTAACCCTAATGCGCATTGGATCAGGTCCAACATAGATGTGTTGCTGAATTCGTAAAATGCTTTGGGATACTTCAGATAAAAGGCACTGTGATAAAGTGGGAGTTAGTAATTACCAGAAGCATGAGGAAGTGGTTATATTTGACTCCAGCTCTTGACCCATAACTCTTGGAAAGAAATTGAAAGCTAAGTGGTAGATACTGCAGAAGTAACATCCCATCAGAAAAGCAATGCAGTTTCATAGTCTCTAGCTACCCAGTTTTGAAAGCAGAAGGTGAGACATTTTTGCCTGGTTACAGTTAAACAAAGTGCCAAGTATTTCTTTTTCCAACTTGCTCTTTGCATGCTGAGCTGTAGGCT